CTTGTTTGTTAGCAAGCATTTTAAAACATTTTATGTGAAGTAGGCATTTCTAAATTGTTTATTTACTTTTCAGAATATGCCACCTGACTTGAGAAGAAAAGCTGCGCGTCTTGTTTCTGCTAAATGTTCTCTTGCTGCTAGAGTTGATAGCTTTCATGAGAGTCTTGATGGGTCATCAGGTCAAGCGCTGAGGGCTGACATTGAGAAGAAGTTTGAYAAGTTAGTGGAGCCTCCTCCCAAGAAAGAAGTAAAAGCYCTCCCTAGACCTGATGATGCCCCAAGAAAGAAACGTGGTGGRCGTAGAGTCAGAAAGATGAAAGARAAGTTTGCTGTGACAGAAATGAGACGCCAGGCCAACAGAGTAGAGTTTGGGAAAATTGGTGAAGATGTTTACCAAACAGATTTGGGATTCTCTGTAGGAACCCTGGGAAGAAAAGAGAACACAGGTCGTGTACGAACTCCTGCAGTWGACAAGAAAACACAAGTTTCCATCTCAAAAAGACTTCAGGTGAGAGTTTGTAGTTAGAAACTAATGATGCAGTGGTCCCAATGATGATATCAATTAAGTGTTACCTCATTTTCCTTTTTGTATATTTGTATACATTTCGTTTGGGATTGCAAAACTGCTCTGGTATTTTCCAAACTTTTACAAGTTTTTTRATTAGTGAACTAAGGTTCTTTTTTCTATTATTAGCGGAGTCTTCAACAAGCACAGACRTATGGTGGTCAGTCTACTGTAAAGCGTAGTGTATCTGGAACAGCRTCAAGTGTTGCATTCACACCACTACAAGGATTGGAAATTGTCAACCCTCAYGCAGCTGAGAAGAAAGTGGCTGATGCCAATGCCAAGTACTTCTCAAGTACAGCAGGCTTCTTAAAAGTCACAAAGAAATAATAAATCTTGTCACATTAGTATATTACAGTAATATTTTTTAAGTGATGTATTTTTGTTTTGTTTTTTGTTTTAGTTTTTTGTTAATAGTTATTATTAGCTAACCACTTGAATGTGTACATTCAGAACAAATCTGAAAAATTCTAATACCATCTTCTCATATGCACTACTATCAGCTGCCTTTATTCTGTGTATTTGGGTAAAGTGATGAATAATATTGTTGTAATGATGAAATAAAGAACAAAAACACTCCATAACTGAGAGCTTTATTTCCAACAATTTTTTTCAAAATAGGCAATCGGGTAGTCTAATTTAGTGGGGAGCAACATTGGAACAAGCCAAAGTATACCAGAATTAGTAGAGGAGGACTAGATCTAAATACTAAAAGCGGTGGTTAAATTTAAAATGACGAACTCTGAAATAAATTTCGATGAATAATGTTTCTACAACATCTACATCTACAAGTTTAATCCATAAAGGTTGCCCGTTACATGGATGTGAATGGTCAGGGTATGCATCTACTAGCAGGAGCACTGACACAGGAGGAGCTGGAATTGCTTGGTTTATTTTGTCCTTTATGAATACACAAAAATTAACTGCTTGTTTAGATGTACAATTTTTCGTTGGGGGAATCCTGTTTGTAAGATGACCGTGTATAGGCTGGTGACTGGGTTCCAGATTCTTCACGGCYTGAATCTATTCATTCGAAGTTCGGTTCGTTTGAAATACTCTTATATATAATTCTTACTTTTTKGTTGGATAGAATTCCATCAGTTTAATATTATTTCCATTCATAATGCGTGTCWTTGGTATCCTATTATTTGCCGTTATTTTAATGGTTGTCGTTTTGGAGAGCAATGCAGAAGAGAAGAAAAARGTGAAAAAACTTCAAATTGGAGTCAAGAAACGTGTTAAAGATTGTAAAGTGAGGTCGACAAAGGGAGATTCTCTTCATATGCATTATACAGTGAGTATTCTWGCATTAATTCTCTCTGTTTATTTCTTTTGAAGAAGGTGATTTATTGTCCAATGAAAGACATACAGCACACAATGCCTGCATCATAAAAYACAGGGGAGGGGAGGGTTAGTAGCTGGTTATCTGTTCAATCTCAGCTGATATCAGTGTAAATACTGTACATGTCAGTGACAAAAGGGAGTATTCATTAAGTCAATTATGATATTTTATAATTCTAGGGAACACTAGAGGATGGCACCAAATTTGATAGTAGCGTTGATAGGAAAGAGCCTTTTRTCTTTACTCTTGGTGTGGGACAAGTCATCAAAGGTAAACTGATTCCAAATGGAAACTTAGGATTAATAATATTGGTAGAAACATTGTGTTTTGATTTGTCTTTTGTGTGTTTTAGGTTGGGATCAAGGACTTTTAAAGTAAGAAAATTTCTTTAAAATTTTTCTTTTCTTTTTATCAATGTCAACATTTCATTATTTTTTCAGCATGTGCGAGGGAGAGAAAAGAAAACTTGTCATCCCATCTGATTTAGGTAAAAATGGTAGATTTTTGTGTGTGTTTTACTGCATGATAGCTGACGTGACATCCTATTTTATTATTAGGTTATGGTGATAGTGGTGCTCCACCAAAAATTCCAGGTAAGTTTCCATGCCTTGAAAAAAACCATGATTCTAAAAATGTTATTTTTTCATAATAATTTCACATCCATGATAATGATAATTTTATTGTGAAACACCGGTCAGTTATGAACAGCAAAATGATATTGTTTTTGTTTGTTATAATTTGGCTTTTTTTTTCTTTTTACTCTGCAGGTGGTGCTACTCTTATCTTTGAAGTGGAGCTACTCAAAATTAATAAAAAAAACAAGGATGAAATTTAATACAGCAATTTACAGCTCATACTACCTCATAAATAAGTGTTTTTTTTTTACTTTTTGTAATGTTATTTGTCATCAATAAAAGTGATTATTGTTAATGTGTTATTGTTCATTATGTGAACAAGTTTAGTGATTTTCAAAAACAAATGAAATAGACCAATGAACACTAAATATGAACAAATCAGACTTAATTCAGTAACCACAGGAAGTCAGTCATTTAGGAAGAAATCTGTACATTTACGTATTTAGTGTAAGCTGGCAAAAGTTTATAATCAGATATACTATTAAGTGCTCAACATGAAGTACCAATACCCTGAAACTARTTGTATGATGGACAGTTTAGAAGTACAATTGAAACAAATATTTCTTATTACCACTAAATGTTTTTATTCAAAAGAAAGGAATTTGCATAATTTAGTTATCAGATGTAAGCTTCATGAAGTGTGTTCACTTTAATAGAAACCCTTGCGTCAGAAGTGATTTGTGATATTTCTACAAAACAAATTGTATACATGTTTCATTCCAAAACATGAATTGCATGACAATGTTTGCAATATTGCAACACATTTACAAACAATCAGAATAAAACAATTAGAAATTTAAACACCAGAAATTTAATAATATTAATATCTAAATAGTCACATAACACAGAACAACATTAAATTTTGGAATGATTGTTTGAAATTACATGGTGYAAGATAAATTTTTAACTATCATTTTGAGCAAGTTTATTTCCATACTGAACTCTGATCATAGCAAAAAACCTTCAAAGTTCTGAACAGTTAGAAATTCATCTGGTACACCCATCCAACAATTCCTCTAATATCATGTTTATCCCTAAATAGAATTATAACAATACATTATCAATTGTTATAATATTGTCAAATTGTGCTGGAACAGTTTGGTATATATCAGCATGTTTAGTAAAACCATGGATATTCAGACAATTCATACTGTCATTTTAATACAACTATCCCAACATATTGAATATATTAATCCAATCTAATCTGTGAACCTAAACCCTGGGAACTCACATCAATTATTCTTAATTTCACCCTTGCTTTAAAGTCTGCTTATTTTGAGGTCCTGGCTTATTGTCAACATTGCAAAAGTTATTTGAAGAAATYGGTGAGTCTTGAGTAAGTTATTGCCACAGTAAGTCCAGTGACTGTCATTTTCCCCTCTTGTTGAAAGAAAACAACTTAAATCCTTACAACAGAAGTGTGATAAGAATATAGCATTTACCCCTTGGGATTTAAACCAATTGCACAACCTTTTTTGGTAATGATTAACCCTAATATCAGCCAGCCATGAAGTGAATTTACAAGTGTTTGATAGRAATATTAACTTGTRATTCTTAACCAATTCACATGGCTGAGCAATCAATACATTGTYACTGATGACTACTCAATATATTGYCAATAATTATGACAAAACCTTGTCCAGTTCCATTTACTGATGGTTAGCATTTTGGTGGCTTTGACCCAMATTGGACTAACTTCTATCCACTTTGGCACGTTGGTGAACTGCTTTTMTTAGTGCAGAGATAACAATATTGTATTAGCAATCATCAATGCGTTGGAATGACCTGCCAACTTTTCGTGGTCCAAGAGTAACCATCTTTTCACGAGCTTCTTTACGCCCACTTTCTTTATGATCATATATACATTCGTGTTGTTCTGGAAGACGATGTAGTTGACAGAACACATAGCCTACAACAGCAAAAACCAATCATAAAATTAACTATTTAGAAATTATTTCCTTGGTTGAATTTATTGTAACTCCTTACGTAAAATAATGACAGGAAAAAGAATAAAGAGCCTCTATTAATTAATCGAAATCAAACCTTGGTTAAAAACAAACAAACAAAAAGAGAAATTTATGTGTACAAAAATCTTACCACATTTGCATATTCCAAGTTCCCTTTGAGCGAGTTCTAATTTAGCCTTACATTTCCAGCATCGTTTCTTATTTTTCTGTTGTGGTAGATCTTCTGGAGTATCATTAGACGTAGATTCAGTACTTGTACGGGTTTCTTCTACGCACTTTTGATCTCGATCAGGTTCTTCATTTTCCACTGGAGTTTTGTCCTTATTCTCCTTCTCGCGCGAACTTTCTCCCGTCGTAGTCACCGGTACTCTGTCCAGCGAGGGTTGGGAGATAGCAGAGCAACTACCATTTTGGTTTTGCGATTTTCGCTGTTGCTCTAGAATGTARATAAATGGCATACAATTCTTATATCGTGATATAACACTACGCAATCGAGAAATGAGAATGTGCTATTCTCCGTGTCGGTCATGAACAAAGTTGTTGTACGACGTGACATACGAACAAGGAAGGACATTGTTTAGCTCAAAACATTAAAGCTACTTACCATCCTTAAAGCACTTGGAACATAAATTTAATGTCTGAGGAGATCTATAAATACAAACATTTCATCTAAGACTAAAATAGCATGAAAAATCAACAAAGAAATAGTTCATTATGGCAAGGTTGTGCGAAGGGCATTCGAAAAATGTGATTAAAATTCTCTCTCTCTTACCCCCAAAATCCACATGGACACCGAGGAGGCTCGCTTCCAGGATTCTCCATCTGAATTCGCTCGTTAAATGGTAATTGGAAGGTCGAAATCAGGAACAAAATCCACCAAGACGACTTAAATTTTGCGAAATTTCTACATGTACAAAATGGCTTCCTACCCTGTTTACAATACCGCACTGCCAATTATGGCATTGATGACCTTTTATGGTAATTGATAGATGTGACTAGTTTCAGGCCACTTGAGCCGAGTAAAGTACCGGATTTACTTTTCGCAACCACTTCGACTGCCTGATTTTTTTCAAAGAAAATAAGATTATATAAGAGTCTTGTTTTCTGTTTTGTTGTAGATAAATAGAATGCTTAACCGATAATTATCGTTTATCTTTTTTTTAATATAGAAAGATTAGTGAATATTCAATAAAAACCTCTACACGATTTACATTTTTGTAATGGTCAAAACATTTCTTCAAAGAATGAGGGGATTGAGAATCGTGATCTACCAAATTGCCTATTTCCTTCACTTTAATAGTCATGTTGAAAGTGCGCGCACGCTAAGACTAGCACGCACGTCGCGCGTGACATTCCTAGACATTGTAACCATAGCAACTGTCTTGTGGAAAAGTTCCAAATAATATTGAAGATGGCAGGTCACTGTCTTGGAGGCTTTTCTTACGGCTATCGAAGAAATACGAGCATATACCCTGAACAAAATGAAGTTGTTTGGGTAAATAGAAGATACAACCCTTTGGATTTGAGAAGCAGCGCGCCTGTTCCACGCTCAAAATTTCTCATGGAATCTGAAAAAACTTCGGAAAACAATATTCCTTTACAATGGAAGAAAGAGGTTGAGCCTTCTTTAAAGACATTTTCTCGTCATATGGAAGAACCTCACTGGTACCCATCAACGCAGGCTTCCAGGTGCGAAGAATGGTCAACTTTAAGRCAAATTTTGCCTTCTAGAGGAATTCGCGATCGAGTGATTGCACCACGCTGGGGAACAAACATTCTTCCTAACGCAAGCTTTCAACCGAAAAAAGAGAACAGATTTCCTCACATTAACAGTCCAATGACACGGTTAGTATTTAAACAACAACACTATATATATATATCAATTAACTTTGAGAGGAATACTCATTTACGGCCTTGGTTGAACAGTGTTAATGTTTTTATAGATAACATGTGTTGTTTACACTCATAAACTATGTTTACACTCACTTTACACTCGAGTTTGAACCCGTTTTATCAATTTCATTTATCACTTTTTTCTTTTCTCTAAACGGACTTGCTATAATGAGATTACTTTACCGGTTATACAAAATCAATTTTATTGGATTTCAAAATCACGTTCGCCTTGCCCTCTATCACTATGACGTCACARCATTGTTTTAAATCTTTTTCTTTTCGAAATCTTTTTCCCCCTCATTTTCAAAAATATCTTACTAGTATGTTACAATGATTGCCTGATGATATTTGTAGCATTTTGTTGSTTCCGTTAACTAAAAGTAATGCTGCTTTTCTGTCTTCTGCCATTTTATCCCCCCCTCCAGAAAGTATAATCTTTGGCAATGATTACTTCATGTTTTTGGTGTAATTGAACTTCATTGATGCCAAGTACAAAATGGGTTTAATTAATGCTATTCATGTAAATTTCTCCAGCTAATTAGATATTTGTATTCTAGGTTTGTTGACGACATGCACCTTACCAATCGACTCTTCAAACTACACTGATTCTGAGAATCATGATGCATTAATCATTGGGAGCTCCTGTATTATATCTTGATGTCTGGATCAACCGAGTGCTACATGTATATGGACAGACCTCTTTAAACTTTGCTTTTTATAAAYAACAAGACAATATCATAGGGATTCATTGATTTTATTGAATTAACATCGCTCAACATGGCCTTTTGTAAGGAGAGAAACTGATATYGGTCTTTTCTACATGTGTGATTCTTTACACTTGCATTCTTTGTAAAAAATACATATATTTTGTAATGTTGTGCAAAATAAAAGGACACTATCTTTTTGCTGTGATCTTTGCACTTCTATATGAACCTACTGATTTCCTCGAAAGCAAATTCTAGCTATGGAACAAGCATCAAAATAATGCTTTGTGTATCTTCTTTGAAGCTTTCATAGTATCTGTTCTTATCTGTCAATATCTGTTCTTTATCACAATTCACAAACATMAATGAATGTCATAATATCAGATTTTACCTGATTTCCCCTTCAAAAGAAATACTTACAAACCCGAGGGGAAAATACTTATACAAACCCTTAGAAGATACTTAACTCCAGGTAGTGCAAGGAGTCAAAAGCATCCACCAACTAGGTAAAAAAATTRCAATATTGAGTTAGGAATGCTGATCACAGCTCAGAAAATTACAAAACTGTATAAAAAATGCAAGAACTATTCTAAAATACTAACCCAAGTTTAATTGCCATTTATGTGCAATASATAAGTTTCTTTGACCTGAAATGATAGACTGGACAAAATGTCTCCAAAGAAATTCAACTTTGTTTACTRMAGGCTATRTCTTACCAATTTGGAGGAGATCATRTCATGAACAGATAGYCAKAGATTTTATGTGTAGATTGAAATGTGTAACTAATGTACATTTCTGTTATTCTTTGTTTAAATAAATTCAAATGTTTCAATGGTAAATAGTAGCGTTTTGCCAAAATTCATTTTATATGACAGAGCATGAGCATTGACACACATTTCAATACCTTGCAATCTTTTTCAATATTTTTTAATTRAGCTTTTRAGTTATCCTACACCTGAGTTCTTGATGAGGATGGACCAGCTGGGCTTTGGCCGTGTCACTCATGGCTGGCATTCGTTGCTATCACTACTAGTAATTGTAGCATCTTGTCTATCTTGTTTTCTTGAGTTCCTAGTAGATGGATTCAAAAGTGACATTTCTTGTCCTAGTCTCTGTAGATCTGCTTCTTGTCTGTTAATAATAGCAGCATGTTCTTCATTTTTMTTTTGTAATGTTGCTATGGATTTCTTCAAGTGTTTTATTTCATTTCTAAAATCACTGACCCAGTCTAACATCATTGATTTGTCTTTGTAMTGTTCATTTTCTCTCTTTAGCTGTTTTATTTTCTCTTTGTAGTATTTTATTGCTTTTTCTTTCATTCTTCTTTTAGGTTTTTTGGCTTCARCYRTGTCTTCACTTTTGTTTGCTGCAGTAACAAATGATTCATTCAACTTCTCTGCTTTTCTTTTTCTGATAGTCACATTTGTATTTTCCTCATGGCAGCTAAAGTCCAAGTAAGTGCTGTTTAAGTTATGAGTAGTAATGCTCTGCAGTGATGTCTCTTGTTTTGATGATATTTCCAAGGATTCACTTTTGTGTGACATATCTTTGCAACTAAACATCAAASCACAACTGYTCACAGATTCAGGGTTATTGCTCTTTCTTGATTCTTCCTCAAGTTTTTYCTTCMCGTGCAATTGTGTGTTTTGACTACTATCAACTRMAGAAACAGYRTCCTYTCCAAAYTSATCATCATTTGTRAGACTTTCCTTTTCTTGTATTRGAGTGCTATCACATTGGTCAACTGTTACAAGTTCTGAGACATCATTCTTTAGATCTTTAGWGCCATGTTCTGGGTTATTAGAAGGCGATTGCATGGTTTTCTCTTCCTGATCCTTATTTCCTGGTGGCAGAATTCTCTCATAATGATCATCATTTACTTCCMTGTCTTTATTTGAAGATTCTATGTTGTGTACTGATATATTCCTATCCTTTGTAGGATTTTGCACGCATTTTTCTTCAAGGACTTTCTCTTCACCAATAGTATCCTCACAATGGTTGACTRGTATTGAACCATCATTTTTTAAATCCATAGTACTTTCAGCTGTCTCAKTGTCATCCTTACTTGTCTCTTCCAATGGAATATCTTTGTAACTTTCAAATGGATTACCACTAGTTATGGTAGTTACATTAGTAGTCCTCTCTAATGATAATTCAATTGATTCTTCTTGCAGTCCTATCTCATCATGACAATTACCAACCAAAGTATGCTGACACTGGTC